CCCATGCCTCTAGGAACAACCGAAAATCCTTTGACCTTGGTCGGTTCGCCGATCGGTACACCATCACGCTCTTCAACCATCTCTAGAAAACCTTTAATTGCACGATTCGCAGTTGGGGAGCAACCCGAGTTGGTACAATCCTTGGTATATATAGTCGTGTAATGGTTGATGCCAATAAAATCGGTACTGTTCTTCAAGAAGTTCTTTTCCTCGATGGAGAAACTTGGTAATTTGGTTCCAAGGTATTCGCGCATTTCTTCGGGGTATTCTCCAAAGATTACGGGATCAAGTGACCAGCCAATATTGAAAGCCAAGGCCCTTTTGGCGGCTTTGCGATCAAGCTCACTGTCTGTTAGCGGTTCGTACATGAAACAGTGCATCACGAGCCCTATCGATCCACCTTGTTTAGGCTGCAGAAAGAAACCCGAAGTTCACGAACAATAATTTCTTAACCAAAATGGGGTGTTTGAGATTGCTTATTTGAAACAACTTATGATTTTCTACAAAATCACTTATCAACTTATTATAAGTCACAAGGGTTAACTTCTTCAAAAACTCCTTATTACATGTTTGGCACCAGTATAAATTGTTCAAACACTAAAAAATGCTTATTACCAGTGTCACTAGAATAAGTCATATTTATTAAGAGTTGAAAGTTGGTTGATTGCCTGAAATTTTTCATGATACAGCTTGGCTGCCTTGCCATGGGCTAGTAACAAGTTGTGCATAACAATGAGAGGCTCGACATCCGAATTTCCGTGGATACAGTTGCCGAATGGTTCGGAGCAACGAGAAGGAGGAAAAACGCCTCTTTCGTAAGACAATTCCGTGAACATGTTCGGTTCATTGATCGTGGCCCAATACTTCACTCGGTCTCCAAACGACTTGAAACAAATTTCAGCCAAATGCGCAAACTCTTCCCTGCCAACGATTAGTTAAGACACATGAATACGTTCCGATATACTAACAAACAAGTAGATCGCGGCGGTTTAGACGTACGTCATTTCGGCGTTGAGCCAAGACCCGTATTTGTCTTCAAGTTCCTGAGGAAAATCGCCATGGAAAATCGTCACGAACGGCTCGATTCCTGTATCATTTTGTTCAAGAGTCATGAATCAAACTCACTTCCCACAAAAGATATGCCAGTTTTTGAGGTAAAACTAACAAAACATCAAAGTTCATGCATGAATCTTGAAGTTTGAATCGATTTCTAAGATGAGATGTAGTGTTTAACTTTCATATGTGTCAATGCACACCTTTGAGGATCAGATTGTCTATTATCATGTTGTAGAACCTGATACCGGCGGGATTAACTTCACCACTCCTTCCTCCTGGAATTGGGAAGCACAAAATGGTAAGCAAAGTTGAAAAGATATGGGAAAGAAGATACATATATATATATACATGGGATCATATGAGACCAATATTTTTTCGCGTAAGACCAATTATCAACCCTTGGATTAGATCTACAATCTCAACATTCATAATCACAAAATTGCCACGAGACTTCTCAATAATCACAAAATTGCCACCGTGCAACTTTAGACCATTAGATCATTANATTAATATCAGTAATAATTATTTTTTTACTTTTAATTAATATTAATAAATAAAAATTAATATTAATAAGAGTTATAATTAAAAGAGAGAGATAAAAATTTATGGTAACATTTCATAAATTAGTTTATGTCCATAGTCCATCCAAACATGTATCCAAAAAATAAGCTAAAAACATCATAAAATTCATCAATCACCCAAAGTAAAGGATAATGAGTGGTCTTATGGTTGTTTCACCATACATTTACAAGAAATAGAAGCCAAAACAATACATTTTCTAGCATCAAAGCAACCTTTTCAAAGGATCTTGATGCTCCTCTACAACTTCATAACATCACTCTTGTTCTTCAAAAAATTCTCGTACCATTTAGCAGAAAGCTTCGGCAACCGAGTTAGCGTTCGACGGTCGATGTAATATAACCCGAACTTCACGTCATAACCTTGCAGCCACTCGAAATTATCCATCAACGACCATATAAAATATCCACGTACATCCGCTCCCCCTCTGTCGTTGATCAATGACGATACTTGTTCAAATTAATAAGCAATACAAATTTTACGTTCATAAAAAGTGAAAGGTACTGAGATAGAGTGGACATGATAGACTCGGCTAGAGAAGCGAGGTACGCTGTGTGAAATTTAACTCGTTTGACGTCATTCACGAGCTCTTTGATTCCTTTCGCGTCCACGTCGGGGGTAGAATACCCTGCAATGGAGTTTACARAAATGAGATCGTATTCGTTATTTGTTTAATCTGATAATTGGGAGACGTACCGTTTTCAGTAATAAACATGGGTGTATTATTGTACCGAATCTTGATATAGTTAACAATCTCCCCCATGCCTCTAGGAACAACCGAAAATCCTTTGACCTTGGTCGGTTCGCCGATCGGTACACCATCACGCTCTTCAACCATCTCTAGAAAACCTTTAATTGCACGATTCGCAGTTGGGGAGCAACCCGAGTTGGTACAATCCTTGGTATATATAGTCGTGTAATGGTTGATGCCAATAAAATCGGTACTGTTCTTCAAGAAGTTCTTTTCCTCGATGGAGAAACTTGGTAATTTGGTTCCAAGGTATTCGCGCATTTCTTCGGGGTATTCTCCAAAGATTACGGGATCAAGTGACCAGCCAATATTGAAAGCCAAGGCCCTTTTGGCGGCTTTGCGATCAAGCTCACTGTCTGTTAGCGGTTCGTACATGAAACAGTGCATCACGAGCCCTATCGATCCACCTTGTTTAGGCTGCAGAAAGAAACCCGAAGTTCACGAACAATAATTTCTTAACCAAAATGGGGTGTTTGAGATTGCTTATTTGAAACAACTTATGATTTTCTACAAAATCACTTATCAACTTATTATAAGTCACAAGGGTTAACTTCTTCAAAAACTCCTTATTACATGTTTGGCACCAGTATAAATTGTTCAAACACTAAAAAATGCTTATTACCAGTGTCACTAGAATAAGTCATATTTATTAAGAGTTGAAAGTTGGTTGATTGCCTGAAAGTTTTCATGATATAGCTTGGCTGCCTTGCCATGGGCTAGTAACAAGTTGTGCATAACAATGAGGGGCTCGACATCCGAATTTCCGTGGATACAGTTGCCGAATGGTTCGGAACAACGAGAAGGAGGAAAAACGCCTCTTTGGTAAGACAAGTCCGTGAAGATGTTCGGTTCATTGATCGTGGCCCAATACTTCACTCGGTCTCCAAACGACTTGAAACAAATTTCGGCCAAATGCGCAAACTCTTCCCTGCCAACGATTAGTTAAGACACATGAATACATTCCGATATACTAACAAACAAGTAGATCGCGGCGGTTTAGACGCACGTCATTTCGGCGTTGAGCCAAGACCCATATTTGTCTTCAAGTTCCTGAGGAAAATCGCCATGGAAAATCGTCACGAACGGCTCGATTCCTGTATCATTTTGTTCAAGGGTCATGAATCAAACTCACCTCCCACAAAAGGTATACCAGTTTTTCAGGTGAAACTAACAAAACATCAAAGTTCATGCATGAATCTTGAAGTTTGAATCGATTTCTAAGATCAGATGTAGTGTTTAACCTTTGAGGATCAGATTGTCTATTATCATGTTGTAGAACCTGACACCGGCGGGATTAACTTCACCACTCCTTCCTCCTGGAATTGGGAAGCACAAAATGGTAAGCAAAGTTGAAAAGATATGGGAATATATATATATATATATATATATATATATATATATATATATATAGGTTTAATCAAATGAGAAATAATTAGTTTGTGGTAACCGTGAAGTCCAATCTCAACCACAAATCACAGAATAAATTAGGAAATTTATAATTTTGGTAATTTTTAATTAAAATTTTAATACAATGACATTTTAGGTATTTTCTCTTTTGTCTCCCGTCTCCTGTCTCTTGTCTTCTGTCTCCTGTCTCCGGGCCTTTGTCCCCCTGCCACCGGCTCTCCGGTGATACCACAATGATATCACAATACATCTTATATGTGATAGGGTATCACACTGTGGTCGTTTGTGCGGTCGATCAGATATGTAACACAGTGATATCACAATGCATCTTATATGTGTTTGAGTATCACACTGTGGTATCACCGGAGAACGGTGGCCGGTGGCCGGAGGCCGGAGGACAGTGGCCGGAAGACGGGGACAGAGAGAGAAGAGAGAAGAGAGGAGAGAAAATACCTAAAATGTCCTTGCATTAAAAATTTTAATTAAAAATTACCAAAATTATAAATTTCCTAATTAGCCTATTGATTTGTGGTTAAGATTGGATATCACGGTTACGACAAACTAGTCAGTTCTCCCTTGAATAGACCCCTATATATATATATATATATATATATATATAGGGTTGTGTTCACGTGAGACTAAGGGTTTTTCGTTTTACACGTAAGAGCAATTTATGTTCATTGATCAACTTCTTAAGTTAATGATCTAATAATCTAAAGTTGGACGATGACAATTTTGTGATTATTGAGAAGTTTCATGACAATTTTGTGATTATGAATGTTGAGATTGTAGATCTAATCCAAGAGTTGAGAATTGGTCTTACGGGTCTCATGAAAAACCTTTGGTCTCACGTGAACCTAACCCTATATACACACACACACACACACACACACACATATATATATATGTGTGTGTAGACTTGGGATCATGTGAGACCAATGCTTTTTCGTGTGACCCATAAGACAAATTCTCAACTCTTGGGATTAGATCTACAATCTCAACATTCATAATCACAAAATTGTCACCGTCCAACTTTAGACCATTAAATCATTAGCGTATAAAGTTGATCATTGAACATAAATTGGTTTTACGGATCTCACAAAAAACTCTAGGTCTCACGTGAACCCAACCCTGTATATGTATATGTATATATATATATATATATATATATATGTGTGTGTGTGTGTGTGTGTGTGTGGTAAGATCGGATATATAGCATACTTGGAAGAACTCTAGCCCATGAAATCGAAAATCTGTACGCTTTAAGACCAATGGAATGCATTATCTCAATGTCTTTCTGTAATAAAGAAGAGATTCAAGAAAACAAGTTGATATAAAACGTCAACAAATTTTATATATATATGCATATATATATATATATATATATATATAGAGAGAGAGAGAGAGAGAGAGAGAGAGAGGAGCAGAAGTTGATGAACCAAAAACCGATGATAATGATCGTCAGCGATATCTCCATTCGATCCATTTCTTCCACAACCTAATAACAATGGCAGTCGATAAAAAAATCAGAATCAATTGGTCTTATAATTATTAAACAGTAACAAACGGGCAATTGATGATACAGACCTACGACTGAATGACAAAATACATCCCAGTTGCTGAGCGATTTAGAATCATCGAGATAGGCTCCTTCAATCTGCAAAATTCCATGAGTTGAGTGATATATATATATATAGATTATATATATGCATGATGATGAGGAAGAAAAATGAGAGAAAAGGAGGAAGGTAGATGGACTTGGTAAGCAGAAGTGGCTGCTCCAAAGAGAAACCCGAGTGGAAAATCGGATCTTTTGATATCGGGAACTTCTTTGGATCCTCCACCGCCATTGTTGGAGGCTTCAAGAAGAAGAGCACAAGTGGAGATGAGAAAGAAGAAGAAGAAGAGAAAAATGGTGGGTGATTTCATCCTTTTCATGATGGAACAACGAGGGATAATGTTTCTCTAAATCAACTTTGCTTATATTACAATGGATATTGGTTATGTAGAGTGTACATATATATATATATATATATATATATATAGTTGTATATATAGAGTTTTCTGATTGTTTTCATACCCATGTGACCCATGAAACTTCAGTAAAACACTGTGATGATAAAAAGAAATTTATTAGAGCAAAAATACTATGAAAGTTATCTTTACAATATTTTATTGTGAAATTTCAAGTATAAAAAAGTAGTATCATGGGTCTCATAAAAACAAACGGGCCTCACATGATTTCAAGTCTTTACGTGATTTCAAGTCTTTAAATAGAAGCCTCATTTAATTAATATAAACCATACAAACCAATCAAACGAGATATTTATGGAAATGACGAGAGTTTATTTATTATGACTAAAAGGGTACTCGCGCAATAATATAATGTGATTACAAATAAACATTTTGATTTTAATCTTTTGTATTATTCTTTGTCTCTATCATGTTATAATGCGATTTTATGTGATTTTGAGAAAGCGGAAATGTTTTTATTTTTGAATAAAAGTATAAATTTGAAGATATCATAAAATTTTGAAAAAAATATTTGATATTAGTATCAAGGTAACTATTTAAAAGTTTTCGTTTTTTGTATAACTTTTTTAATTCAAATTTTTATTATAATTTAACTAAAACTTAATAACAAATTTATTTGTTTTGGTTTAGTAAAATAAATTTTTTTAAATAATAATTAAATATTTTATTAGAACTCAATAATTATTCTAATTATATTTAGATTATCTATATTTAAAATGAGATGTTTATCATTTATTTAATAATGTTTATTTTTAGTTAATTATAAAGCTTTAGTAAGATGTCCATACACACATTCTTCTTGTAATCTTGAATTTTTAGTAATATGCATCAATAAACAATATTTTATGTATAAAAATGGTTTTTAAAAATAATTTATAATATAGTATAGATATGAATATTTTTTAAGATGGTCAAAGTTCATCCATTATGATTCACGTTTTAGATCAGGAAACAATTTATATATTTATAAAACCAGATATTTACTAATCAAGATAAACAAATGAAATTGATATATATGGTCGTTACTAATACTAGAATTTGTATTTAAAACTCCCTGCATATATGGATATGATAACAATAATAAATATAGATATAACGCGAGGTTCATTTGAAAAGTAGTAAGTATTTGAAAAGTAAAGAAGTGATCATAGCTTTTCATACGATCAAGATTGGTCAAAAATTGCAGCTTTGACTGGTCAAGTGAATATAGATGAGTAGTTTTGTATTTTTACAAAGAGGCGGTAAACAAATGTATATGTGAACCTGTAAGCGCCATAAGTGCAAATGTGAATCTATAAATCAGACAGGTTCATATGCGAATCAGTTAATTATTTTATATGTGTATCACATGGGTTCATATGTTAATAACACGGTTCCACATATGCACTTGTTTTTCATCTATTTGTAAGAGTTACAAAACTACTCATCAATCTTCTACGGACCATTTAAGGAACTATCTAGTGTTTCACCATCAAAACCGTCAATGTTGACCAGATGAAGGGGTAATATCACTTCTCTACTTCTCAAATGAAC